ATAATAATAATAATAATAATAATAATGATAATAATAATAATAATAATAATAATAATAATAATAATAATAATAATAATGACACCAATGATAATCATAATAATTTTCATTATTATTCCAAACCTACCAACTTTCATTTTAATGTCGCAAGATTCTTCGCGCGTACAGAATTTGTATTATTCTTAAATCCAGATACTTGGCCATCATCACCAAAGATTAGATCTCAAATCAAAAAACACCAAGATTTATTATTACAAGATGATGTCATCATCTTACCAACATTCGAATTTACCGAAAATGCCACGAGCCTGAAATTTCCTCAAAACCTTGGGGAATTGATGAAATTGGTTCAACGGAAAGCCATGGGAATTAAAGATATTGGGTGGCCGATAAATGAAGGACCAACGGATTTTGGGAAATGGATGAAGATGAATATTTATAAAATTGCCGAATTTGAATTATTTTATCAACCTAATTTTATCATGAAGAAAGGAAGTATTAATCCTTGGTAATTTTTATTATTAAATTTAATTATTATATTTGATTATTATATTTGATTATTATTGATTTTTGATTTTTGACATGTGCAAAGAACTAATTTTCTTGGAGTTGTATTGATAATTTCTGTAAATATGTAAAACATCTAGACAATATTATTTAATTTACAATTTTTAATATTTATATTTAATTATTATGAATTCTTTATGTAATTATTATTTGTACCACTTCAAACAGCTAAAGAATGGTAATATTTCGACCCGTATACTTTTTTTTTAAATTTATAAATTGATTTTTTTATATTATTTTCAATTCTTATTTTTACCAATAGTTCATAATACAGAATTTTTCATTAACTTTTTGATCTTGGAGCAAAAGAGCTTGGAATGACATTGAATGGAATTAGATAAAGCAAGAATATATTTTAAAAATACTGTCAAATATGTACATTATAAAAGGTGAAATTTCATTTTTTTTTTTAATTATTATTATCAAAATCATAAATTCAATTCATTTTATTTAAGAAACATCAGAGAGACAAGACATAATGAAATCATTTCAAATGATATAATTGCACTTCTTTCAGCAGATTTTGAAAATATAATTACCAAATTATTTGACAATATTTTTAAAAAGTGGGCTATTGGTCCTCTAAACAAAATTACAGTACCAAATAATACAAATACCATACGTTAAGTAATTGCTGTAATCAAATAGTATTTATAATGTTTTAAAATTTAATTTTAGAACTTAAAAAATTATACAAATTGAATTAAATATAATTTAATTATTAATAATCATAACTAATACAATATACCTTTTCATGGAAGAGATAAAGGCTCATAACTCAAAAGTTTCATAAAATAACAAGTGAAGAAATTTTCCCCGGATGGTATGAAGAAAAATTTATTTCATATATAACACCAATCTTCTTCTTTCTCTTTCTTATATTTCCCTTTCTTTTGTACAGGGTTCTCTTGAACAGATCACTCTTACATGTTTTATTGGTTTGGGTAGTACGCTCAGATCTAATCAGAAAAATACTCATGGACGAAATGGGTATTTTTTTTTTTAACAAATTGGATGTAATATATATATATATATATATATAAATATATATTTGTTTTAATTATACTTATCATTTAAAAACTATTTACCTTTATTAATTCATCACCTTTGAATATCTATATATACAAATGATTTCCATGAATTTTGTCAACCAATAAGCCTTAATTGACTTTTTGATTATGAAGAATTATTTCCAATGGTTTGTAATTTTCAATACTCATTCACCAAATTTATATTCCCTAACAT